AAAAAAAAAAAAAAAAATTTGAAAGGAAAAATAATAAACATTAAGAATGTCTTATCGAAAACAGTTAAATTTCATATGTATAATTATGACAGATAATAAATTAAATTTTATGACTGTGGGACACAATATAATACAAAAATTCGTTAATCAATTACAGCCAATGATTTATCCAAAAGTTAATAGAAAATAAAATATAATAAAATAATAAAGAATAAAGATTTATTTTTCAAAATGAAAAACTTTGATGATGTTTGTGGTGAAAATGTGTGGCGGAATGTTTTATAGGTAACAAATTATATTCTACGACATATGTATCAATTTAATTTAAGGAAAAATCTGCCTACTTGATAATGATGCCAGAGGGCATTAAAAATTTACCCATCAAGCATCTCTAACTAAAAAATCGAATAGAAACAGCCGATTGTTAAAAAATAAAAGTTTTGTCCCACCATTTTTTTTTCCCATAGAATTTCCTTTGGTTACTGCTTGCTGATTTGAAGGACAATTATCAACTTACGTGCGTGCTTTGTAAATTCTTCGAACAAGTCATCTCGGTCTCGATTCTTTGGAATATTTCCCACAAACAAGCGATGATTGTTATAAGATACGGTAACACCAATCTTTTTCCCTTTCCGAATCTCATAATCATTCAGCTGTAAGAATAATGTGGAAGGAGAGTGCCAATTAAGCTTGCCTTTTACAATTTCACCTGCTTATTGGCTGTTCTGAACGTGGGATATCGTGAAGCGACCTTCAGGGAAATTATATATATCTTATACGAAGGAACAGGGCAAGCAAATTAATAAATGAATGTGAAAAAATAAACTGGAGTTAATTATCGTATACGGTCGGTGAATGGATGAATAGATATATAGAGGTAGATAGATAGTTATATTGATAGATAGATAGATAGGTAAGTAGGTATAAAGGTAGATAGGTATGTAAGTAGGTAGGAAAATAGGTAAATAGGTAGACAGACAGATAAGTTAAGTTATATAAGATAAATAAATGAATAAAAAGATAAGTAGATAGGGAAACTGGTAAACAGAAATAAATATATAAATAGACAAGTTGATAAATAGAAATAGGTAGGTATTCATGGATTAATAGATAGTATTAGATGGGCAGATGGGTAGATCGATAGACAGAATAGTTGATAAATAGAAATAGATATATGGATAGCTAGGTAAGGTGATAGGTATAGTAGGTAAGTAGGTAGGTGGATGGGAGTGCCTGTCCGTTTGTTAGCGAGTCAAACGCCCCAGCGGTCCACGCATATCTCCCATACCCCCATGCTTGAGGTCCAGTTATGAATCGCGTTAACATGATGCAAAAACTGATAACAACCACGCAGGACAGCGCGCATTATATTTATTATTATCTCACTATATAATTTTAATAATTCTGCCATATTGAATTGCTTCCACATTTTCTCTTCTAAATACTTTGTCTCTCTTTATCCTTTTTATTATGTAGAAAAAAAAGAAGAAAAAATCAAACAAAAGAAACAGCAAAATAAGGAATTAAAAAATGAAAATAAAAGTATACGTTCAAATCGCCAAGAAGATCAAACTTCAAATGTCAAGATTAAGATTAATTGTGTAAGATTGTGTGTTTGCGCGCTTTAGTGTAATTGTGGTATTGTTCGCGTGTATGTTTGATAGCAAAAAACGAATGGTGTTGATCGTAGTGGTAGTAGTGATGGTTTGGTACCGATCATAAAATAATTGTGATCCTACAATGAAGATGCAACAGAACAACGATAATGATGGCGATAACGGTAACTATGATAATAAGAACGACAACGGTAATTGTGAAAACTAAAGGATAAAGGAACGCTATAAGGAGTAAAAGAAAAATTATTTGGGAGAAAAGAAAGGAAGTACATTAAATAAAAGTAGGAAGTATATAACTCATAACTCAACCTAAATATGCGAGGAAAAGAAGACTTGGACCAGAGAGGTGTTACTGTTCACTAATAAACCGAGAGGCAAGGAGACTGATCAGAACTGAAGGTGACATAGGTAACTGTAAATCGCACGGTCGCGCGTACGATTGTGTTTATTTCTTGGATGCTCCAAAATTCCATACCATCTACAACCACTACTTAAAAGCTACCACTCGTAAGTTACAATACAGGTAGACAGGTAGGTATAGGTAGATAGGTAGGTACACACGCCTCGTATTCACTTTACCTGTTAATTTACCAAATTCCTCCAAGATCTCCTCTTTGCCTTTTGACTTTGGTATGTTCCCCACGAAAAGTCGTAGATTAGGAACGCTAATGTTTACTTTCAGATTCTTGCCGGGTTTTATTTCGTGATTATCGAGCTGTGGGATGAAGAAAACAAACACATGCCTCATATTGTTCCAATGATATACACTTCATGTTTTATCTAATTGCGACAAACAAAAGAATTTAGGAAAGATTTTTCAAAATATGAAATTTAGTGAAATAATTAACATGGCCTGGTTCCATGAAAGCGAGAAAGTGGCATGCGCTTTGTCGCTCGAGTCTTCACAATATAGGAAACCGGCGTTCACGTATGTGCTCCTGTAAACAAATTTTAAACCTACCAATTTTCAAAATTTTGTTACAAAAATTGTCACTGTCCAACGAAAGTCAACCAATTAAGTAAATATACCCCTAACCAATTAAACCACACGAACTTCTTTTTTTCGCATCGTCAATGTTTAGGAAAGTTCTCCACTCCCAATTTTGCCCACTGAGCAAAGAGGAGAGCTGGAAAAAGAAACTCATCCATAGGACATTATTATATACATGTATGTATATATATACATACATGCATACATACATACGTACATACATACATACATACATACATACATACATCATACATACATACATACATACATACATCATACATACATACATACATACATACGTACGTACGCACGTACGTACGTATGTACGCACGTACGTACGTACGCATACACCTATGCGCGCGCGCGCTTATGATATGTGTGTGCGCGTATGTGTATATGTAAATGCGTACCTGTTCAAATGTATGTGTATATGTATATATATGTACAGAAAAATATGTATATTCTGCATGTATTCGCGTGCGCGCGCGCGTGTACTTATACTGTTATACATATGTGCATTTATTTTCTCTCTCTGTTTTGCTGCTGTTAAGTATTTGGCATGTGTTGGGCATCATTATATATTTAAATATAAATTAGTGGTCAGGGACATATATGTATATGTATGAAACAAATATGTGGATTGTTCCTAACTAAAAGACATTGAATGTCAAATTTTATTATTTTTTACCATTAGTAAAATAATGCTAAAACATTTGTGTTAAAACTACAATTTTAAAAATAAATAAATAAAAAAGAGAGAAGAAAAAAAAGAAAAAAAAAATAAAGAAAGAAAACGCAAGTCACAACATATAGAACAAGCCACATGGGAATATGAAAAAAATGTATTCGAAATGTTTAATGTAAGAAGAAAAAAGAAGAAAAGGAAAAAGAAGATGTTCTTATATCATCTTCAATTTGATGAGTCGATTAACGTTCATTTTGAAACAAATACCATAAACATAAATAAAAATAATTCAATAAAACAAGTTATAGAAACAGGAAGAAAGCAAAGAAATAAAACATGTGCAATAATGTATTTAAACATTTCGAAAATTTACTTATTTTGGTAGCAATAACAATTTTGTAACATTTCTAAAGTTTTTCTAAACAAAAGTGAAGGGAATTGATATATCCATAACAAGATGTTGTAAACTAGGATAACAGAATTTGTACGCTTCACAAACATGTACCTACATGATAGTAAAAATAATTCAAATAATATCTACATACCTCTCTAACAGCTTGTTGTGCTGCTTCCCTATTAGTAAAAGTGATAAAAGCATATCCTCTGTTACATCCTGCCATCGGATCCATCATTAATCTTAAATCCCAAATTTTTCCACATTTTTCAAACAAAGGAATTAATTCGTCTTCATACATATCTTTTGGAATTTTTCCACAAAATACCTTTTAGGAGAAAAAAATATATAAAATAATATTAAAATATTAATAACTAATAAATACAAAAAAAATTAAAAAAATATATATAAAAAAAAGTAGAGCTTGATAAATAAAAAAAATATATAAAAATAAATCATTGTTTTACCTCGCAACCAGTTCCGGGTGTAGGACCTTCCCAATTTGGAGGAGGACCTCCATATTTCCTCTGCCCTGTTGTTACATCCAAAGGATAACCAGTTCGTTCAAGAATCATCTAAACCATTATAAACAATTTTATATTTTTTTTATAATTTAAGTTGTAAGTTTATAAATAATTATAAATATAATTTACATTATAAATATCAAATTAATAAAATAAATATCTACCTTTATTTTGTCTTCATCTGGTGCTTTTGGAGTAGTACTGGTACCAGTACCTTGTCCAGCTCGACTTTTTTGTCTATAGGTTTTCATTACACCACAAAGATATGCAGATTTATTTGATACGTGTTCTAAATTAGATTCAAGAAATTGTGTGAGTACATTTAATGCACCATCAACAGGAAATTCCTTTAAAGCATCTAATGCTCTTTCATCCAAATCCACGTGAGCTAATTTTCCTGTTTTATAAATTTCATCTAATTTTGCAGCTACTTTTTCATCTAATCCATATTGAATCAACTTTGAAAAATCTTCTGTTCTTTCTACATATTCCATTTCCTCCTTAGACTGTTTCTCTTCCATTTTTATTTCCCCATTTCCTTCTGCCATAGCTAAAACAAATTTTTATTTCCAAGACAACATCTTTGAGAAAACAAAAATTTTAATTATTTTAGTTTTTATATTTATATAATTTAATTTAAAGTTTATATCTTTTTAAATTATTATTAAAATAAAATATATTTAATATATTAAATTTATTGCCCATTAAATATCTTAATTAACCCTTTGCGGTTATATTTTCACCAGATATAATATTATTATATTATTGTTATTATTATTGGAAATATTTATTAATAAAAATTATTTTTCAATAAAAAGTATATACTTATTATATACTTATTATACAATTTTATATAAATAAGCAAATTTTTTTCTGTAAATTTTTACATATGTTTAATTCAATAATATTGAATTCGATTTTGTTATTAGTAATTACTTTAAATTAAATAAAATTTAATAAAAACTTATAAACTATTCTTCTAATTTTATATTATATCATATATTTTTAAGCATTCTTCAATACAATAGAAAATCTAATTTATATTGACATGTATCAAAATAATTAATACTCACATAATTACTGATGATTTATTGCACTAAGAATATCTAAGAATAAAAAAGAATCGAGGAATCAAATATTTTTAAAAATATAATTGTATTAATATTGTAAACAATAAGATAATTCTTAAACATCAACACTTGTTTCAATAATAGAATGAAAAAATATCATATTTTATCAAAAATAATGCAAAAATCGATTTCGAAGTTTTCGCATTTATCACAATAATACTTAGTTCTTTATTTTAACTGAAAAAATAAAAGAGAGAAAAAAAAATAATTAAATAGAAATATATAACAAAAGATTAAAATAGAAATATACCGCAAAGGATTAAAATATAAAAAATCTTTCGAACAAAACTACATTATTATATTAGTGATTTTTAATTTTTTTATGGGGGCAATATCAATATTATTATATTGATTATATTATATCATTTATAATATCGATATTACATAATTTTTTAGTATTTAAATATTTGTTTTTTGCACTTAAATATTAAAATCTAATATTTTCTAAATTATAATTATAAAATATTAAAAGCATTAAAATACTTCTTATTTTATATAAAGAAATATTATTTAATATGATATATATAATTTAAAAAATAAACATAAATATTTATAAATAATTAAAATATTTAATCAGATATATTCATGAAAATTAAAAGAATCATAACAGTTTTTTTATTTAGTACTTAATATAAGATTTATAATTTGATATAATTTTATAATATTCAATATATAATATTATTTTCAAACTTTATATTCAGAATTTCCAACATCTATTATTCAAAATTTTTTTAACTAAAATATCAATCATTCAAAAGATTAAAAATAAAGTATATTATATACAAAATAAAATGAAACATATATAAAAAGAATATATAAATAAATAATTTGAAATGGGAAAAAAAGAATTGGAAATAGAAATATGTAAAAATAATTATGAAAAAAAATGGAGTACATGAAATAGAAGAAATGTAACGAACGTGATTAAGACTCGAACACAACTATTCAACATATAATGCATAGTACGTACAAGTTCCCGCGTTTACAAACAATTTTTATATTAAAACTTTTAAATGTTATCCATAGCTTTATAAATAAAAATTACAAGAAAATTTTTATGAATCATCAATGTATCATTGATAATATCGTATACCTACTCCTTAATTTGAAATATATAATAAAGAAGTCTCCATTATTGAACAATGCACTTTAAAATACGAGAATTTAATTATTATAATGAATTGTTTCAGAATAACGTATTTAATATATAAAATACAAAATTGTGCTTCAAGAGAAATGTAACTGCAATTTTTTGTGTAAAGCTTGCCGGCCGGCAATAGAGTTGCATCCATATTTCTTGAAGGATGCAATGCACTTTTACACTCGCGATAACATCACACCTGCTATTCTAACTAATGAATTTTTTATCGTGTTCATTAACGCATTATTAAAAAAGCACATTGATAAAAATTATTCACAATATTCATAACAAGAATAATTGCATATACCTTAGAAAGTAATCGAACAAAATCCTCCTGTGAGGAAATGGCGATAGACGTCAACGTGATTGCAGACTACGGGGTTCACAAAACGACGCGCAAAGATACGCTCGAACCCAGCGACACGAGTTAGCCATTTTCTTCTGAGGTATATTCGCGAATTCTGATTGGTTCGTGCAAAACGTTGAAAAGAAAAAGTTGACCATGCAATATGCACTCGTGAAATAACGAATTTCATACTTGAAATGTACATACACAATAGTATGTTAATTCTATAATACGCAAATTTAATCTAATCGTTGTACTTGTTCAATGAATTATTTTCAATAATTGCAAATATTTTTAATAAATATATTATCTACATATACAAAAAATTTAAAAGTATCAATAATAATTACATATCTATAATTTTTTTATATTATATTCTATTTTTTTTTTTTACTTTTAATAATAAAATTTAAACACAAATTAATTTATTTGAATTGTGAATCAAAAATTTTTATTATTAAAATAATAAGCTAATAATTTACCAAAAATATTATAACTACGCTCTTATAAAATATTGTAAAATAAATTTATGTTTTTTGTTTCTATTTTATATTTTTCTTATATTACTTCTTTTGAATAATGAAACAATAAAAAAAATTAAATATAAATAATAAAAAATATGAAAACAGCGATCGCATAATTTTGTAATATTAAATTTCACAAAAAATAAATGATTATATATAATTCTAATGCTACATTTATTTCATATTAATAAACTTATATTTAATATAATTTATACTTATAAAATATTATTTTTTAGGTTAGATTAAACAATAAAGAAAGAATAAATGATAAGAATACTAAGCAAATCAAATGCCATAACCTCCGAAATATAATTATACGGTAAAAATAATGTACCTGTATAAAATCTGAAATCTTCACAGTATTAATTTTGAACAAATTATAAAACGAAGCACCAAATATTACACACAAAATAGTCACAAGTTTTTAACCAATAAAAAATTCATATTACAGATATCACCAATATTAACACAAATATAAACTTGCATGTACTTTTCTTCACTTTCACGTTATATCAAACTATATTCAAATGTATATTATAAATTGCATTCAACACTTGATTGTATTAGATAAAATATAATGCAGTGAATTTAGTCTTGTAGGCACTTGCAAAGTTTCGATAATATTGCAGTGATGGTGACGGTAAGTGAAGTAAGCCCGGGCGCAGCGTTTTGATATCATGTAGTGCCTACATAGCCGTAATGCATAAATTGGACTGTCTCGCTGAAAGAACGGTGCAGTGGTGCAAGCCCTACAAAACCAAACCAGTTTCCTCACTTGCTCGCTTGCTTGCTAGTTGCGCCCCAATCCAATCCGATTCAACCGCTTACCTCTCTTCGCGGTATATGCGAGCCCCGCCTTAGTCAGGCTCGTCGCAATTCTTTTCCGTTCCTGTATCATTCTTTCAATAATTTTTCATATTTTTTTCTTTTTTATTTTTTTTAATAAATATTTACATTTTTTTATAATATATTTAAATATTTTTATTGTAATTTATCTATATTTTTATTATCTTTATTTGTATTCTATATATCATTATGTGTACAGTTACATATGTTATGTATATATTTGTAACTAAATTATAATAGAAAAATTCAAAGAAATAATTTTAGAATAGCATTAAATTATATTTGATTAGAAATTACAATATTCGTGTCATTAATTATAAAACATTGAATACATTAAAAAATAATACATTAAAAATTGTATTGTTATTTTATTATAAAATATTATATACATAAATAAGAAAAAAAAAATTATATAATATAAGAGAAGTTGATGTATCTCTAAAATATATGAATATACTTGAATTAATAAACCAATATATATTCTATAAAATAAAATTACATAATATATGCATGTATATATAATATATATATAAATAAATAAATAATGTATAAATAAATAAATAAATATATATTAGATTTCAGTAGATTTTAAATATATACTTTTTTTTTCCTTTAATAAAGTTTTAATCATATATTTTTACATATGATATAAGTATTTTTAGAAAATCTATATTTAATTAGAAAATTCTGCAATTTTTTTTATTATAAAATTTAAATTTTTTATATTGTTATGTTATATATTATACTATTATGTATTGATACTAATAGCATAAAGCATACAAATTTTTCTATTTTTAATTTTACAAATTCTTTTCCTAAAATAAGAATTATTATATATTTTATATATGTATATAAATTTTATATATGTATATATATATATATATATACATATATATACATAATTTTATTTACATAAAAAATGCTATTTTAATAATTTGAAATAAAATCATAAAAAATATAAAATTTTATATTACATTTTTACATATTTAAAAAATTTATATTAAAATAAAATTGTACAATTTAAATTATTATTCTTTAATTAAGAAGGAATTAGTTCCCATGAACATTTTCATAATTATTACAAATAACGTTTTAGATAACAGAACAGAGTACAGACAACAAGATACGGTCCTGAATTCAACCGTAAACCGCCTGTCTGGTTGAGCACGCACCCGCGTCCCTCAAAGGAGAAGAAGCAACAAAGACAGATGGTGCTCGTATGTTCGCTTGCTGAAACCTGTTCCTTCAGAACTTTTCCGTTTTCTTAATTTTTATTCGTTCAAATTCTGTTTTCGTTAAAAATTATTATTTTATTCATAACCATAATTAAAACTATACGTTAATTCATGAATAAAATGTTGATAAATTAAACTTCACTTATTGTTATACTGTATATTTAAATATACATATTTCTTTTTCCTCTTGTTCCCTCTTCTTCTTTCATGTCTTTTTCTATCTCTCATTACTTAGCTGTCTGCACTCTCCACAGACAATGCATTTTTTGCTCGACTCTAGAGCCATTGTCGTGGGAGGTTGGAATTTTAACGTAGAAATGTTTGTAATTAAATTTATATATCTAAAAAAATTTAAAGATATTTAATAATTTTAATATCATTACTTTAAGTATATTGTAACATAGGAGAGATATCTGAACAATAATTTGATGTAAAAAATTGTTATTATTTTTTACAATTATAATTATTGTTAAAATATTTTTTACGAATATTTTTTTATATTTATTTTTACAAATATAAATTTGAAAAACTATTGCATAAAAAATATTTAATAATACTTTAAAATTATTTCCCACGTTGACATTGAAAATCTTGAACTGCTTGCAGACATCGTAAAGATTTTCTCAGGAACCAGAACAGTTGCATTAAAGCATGAGATGGACCCCCAGCTACTCTTCTCTCCAAAATACTTGTTTAGCTATGAGAAATTCTTCTTTTTTCACATGCCAAATAAATAGGGGTGAACCTGTATTCAGATAATGCTATAGCAAGCGGAATACTACATACTTGGGAGAGTTACTCTTAGAAGGGTCGATGGACCAAGATGCTATTTGAATTAACATAATAAAAAATATTTAAATGTCGTTTTATATTAAATTTTTATTTTAGTTTCTTATTTTTTAAAAAATTTATTTTTTAAGAACTCTTTTTTTTTTAACAAAATGTACAAATAACGCTTTATAGTTTAATATAATATACATACATACATACATTTTTTTTTTATATTTAAAGTTTTCAAATAATGGCGGTTTAAAAGAGGATATCGTTAACTTCAATGAAAGTTAACTCTAATTTAGTATAGAATTGATGACATCAGAACTCAGGCATTATGTATATATTTAGTAACTTAGTAACTTCCATAAAGCAGGCAAATAGAGATTTTGAAGTGAATTGAATATGGTATTTAATATTGATATAGTTCGATGTGAAATGTGAATGAATGTACGTGTATGTGACAAACAGAAAAGAATTTATTTCTTATTTTTTTATATTTTTTTTTTCCTTATTGATATGACGATGAATCAATATAATACAATACCTATATAAGAATTTAGTATATTTATTAGAAGATGGAATTCATTAATTTTAAAATATATACGATAGTGATTATAAGTTTCTATTGTTTGGGCGTTGTCGGACAATATGAGTGGCAAGCTAGAGATGCTTTTGATGAAATCCGTTTAAAAATGGATAAGATTAATGAAGAAAATTGTCCTATTCAACATATCGGAGACCTCTATCTACCAAAAGATACAGTCTCTCATTTACCTGATATTAAAGATATTAATATCAATCCTGTATTTCCAAATCGAACTGCTTTACTTCATCTTCATAATATGGCTCTTAGTAGATCATTTTTTTGGAGTTACATTTTACAATCTCGATTCATACGTCCTGCTATCAATGATACTTATGATCCAGGCATGATGTATTATTTTTTATCAACAGTTGCTGATGTTTCTGCAAATTCACATATAAATGCTTCCGCTATATATTTTTCACCAAATATGTCTTATTCTTCATCATATAGAGGCTTTTTTAATAAAACTATGCCTAGATTTGCACCACGAACTTTTAGAGCTGATGATTTTAATGATCCTATACATTTAGAAAGAATATCCACAAGAAATACATTTAATGTACAAGATCTTGGGGCATTTGCTAGTGGTAGTCTTGGTGAAGATTATACAACAGATTATTATCGTATAAATGAATGGTAAACAAAATTTAGATTATTAAAATTATGTTTAGATAAGAAAAAGTTTTATAATTTATAAATTATTAAATATTATCAATTCTATTAATATAGGTATAAGAAATGGTTACCAGATAATGTTGATAAAAGACATGACACTAAAATCACTTATCAAGTTGAAATTAGATATGCTAACAATACTAATGAAACATTTACCTTTCATGGACCACCTGGTATTATAATAAAAATGATCAATTTAAATAATATAAAATTTTATATTATTAAAACTCTTTTTTTATTTTTTATAGGTGCAGATGAACATCCTGGTCCTGTAAAATGGACCAGACCTTATTATGATTGTGGGAGATCAAATCGATGGCTTGTGGCAGCAGTTGTGCCAATAGCAGATATATATCCAAGACATACAGGATTTAGACATATTGAATATCCAACGTATATTATTATTATATATTACAAGTTATATATTGAATTTTTTCTTATTTGAATTTTTCATTAAATTATATATCTTTATTATAGTTATACTGCCATATCAGTTATTGAAATGGATTTTGAAAGAATAGATATTAATCAATGTCCAAAAGGAAAAGGAAATAGTGGTCCCAATAGATTTGTAAATACTGCGAGATGTAAAACTGAAACTACTGAGGTATTAAATATAAAAATTATTATATATTTAATATTTTTTTAAGAAAATTATCTTTTTTTAAATTTTAAATTACAATTAATTACAATTTAATTTAGTGTGAGCCATTACATGGCTGGGGTTTTAGAAGAGGTGGATATCAATGTAGATGTAAACCAGGCTTCAGATTACCAAATGTAGTACGGCGTCCATACCTAGGTGAAATTATAGAAAGAGCAACTCAAGAGCAATATTACAATGGATTTGATTGCTCTCGAATAGGATGTAAATATCTATATATTTATTTTTTATAATTATTATTACTGTCATTATTGATGATTATTTATTATATTATATTATATTTTTATTTTTTCATTTCTTATAGGGATACATAAAATGCCTGTTGAATGGGAAAAGGCAAAACCTCATATTAGAGAAAAGTATTTAGAGCAATTTTATCACTATAGAAATTATTCTATTGGACCAGAAGCAATAAAATCTGAAAAAATTAATATAGATCAAATTCTTAAATTCATTTTAAGCATCAATTCAAAAACTTGCAATAGGTATATCATAAAATATTCATTTTTTGATATTTTTCATTTTTTTATGTAATTCAGAAAGTAAAATATTGAAAAAAATTCATTAATATTTAATATTACAGTTACAAGCAAGAAGATTTAACATTACGCGGAGATATAAGTTTCGGTGCTAAAGAATTTTTTGAAAACGAAGCGAAAATGGCAACTAGATTGGCAAATTTTATTAGTGCATTTCTACAAATTTCTGATCCTCTTGAGGTTTATTCAGGTAAAAGAGTAGCTGATAGACCACTTACCGAAGATCAAATGATTGGAGAGACTTTAGCTTTAGTACTTGGAGATACCAAAATATATTCTGCTGAATTGCTTTGGGATCGAAATAAATTTACAAATAGAACATTTTTTGCTCCTTATGCCTACAAAACTCAATTAAATACTAAATTTAAGGTTGAAGATTTAGCTAGACATAATGATGCAGGTAGTATTTATTATTAAATAATATATGTTATAATAATAAATTATTATAACATATTCGTAATATTATCTTAATTATTTGTTTTTATTTTATAGATAATATTTATACAAAAAAGAATTATTTTCAATTGTTGAAACAAAGATGGGCAACAAATTTTGATGAACTAGAAAAATATTATATGAAAATAAAAATAAGATTCAATGAAACCGGTGAATATCTTAAAAAATATGAGCATTATCCTAATTTTTATAGGTAAGATAATAATTTTGATGAAATTTTTTTATACAAAAAAGAATTATTTTAAAAAAATGAAAAAAGTGAAAAGGAAAACTATATAGTTCAATTAAGAAAAGATATAGAAAATATAGAAAAATTTTATTTCTAATATAAAAAAAATTGATTTTGGAAATAGAATTTATTTTAATGTGGGAATATTCATTCATTTGTATAGAGCAGCAAACCTGAATCATGGCCATTGGACAAGTCCTTACTTTGATTGCAACGGTAAAGTAAAGAAATGGGTAATTACCTATGCATCCCCGTTTTTTGGCTTGGACAGCTTGAAAGAGAAACTGGAATTCAAGTAAGTATTTCTATCCATATGGACAACTGAATAAGGTATAGCATATGCATGAGAAATCGAATGTGAGATTGTTCATAAGGATAGAAAACCTGTTTTAATTCTAAAGAAAAAAAATCAAAAAAGAAAGATCACATTTTATATTAAAATCCTTATTGAGATATATTATGAGGTATAATATATTATAGAGGTATTGTAGCTGTTACTATGGATCTACTTCAACTCGATATTAATCAATGCGACGATGTGTTTTACGCTCCAAATGCATTTAAGGGTACACATAAGTGTGATCAAAAAACTTCATATGTAAGATATTAAATTCTATTGTATTAATTAATATTATTGCTATAATTTTAATAATATATAATAAAAATTATTCCTATAATTTTAATATATTAATATAATTATAATAATATATTAATTATAATATATCTAATATGTATAAGAATATGAATAATTATCAATGTGTTAATATATTGTATGTATATATATATATAGTGTGTGCCTATTCTCGGAAGAGGTTTCGAGACAGGCGGATATAAGTGTGAGTGTAAACAAGGTTTTGAATATCCATTTGAAGACTTAATTACATATTATGATGGTCAATTAGTAGAAGCTGAATTTAATAATTTAATTAACGATCAAAAAACTAGGTAATTAATATTATAAATTAATATAACAATAATTTTAAAATATATAATAATTCTCATATCATATTATAATTAATAATTTAACACAAATGCTTATTTTTACAGATATGATATGTTTAAATGTCGATTAGCTACTGCCTCATCAATTCAAGTCGATTGGATATTATTACTTATATCGACAATATTTTGTTATTTTATAGTATGCAAATGACTCATAATAATATTATAATAATATGAATTTTACTCTATATGCATTTATATAGTTCATATATATTCATTAAGATAGAGTTTTATGAATACAATCCGTCCATTATTAATATGATCATTTAAGGAAATAATAAATATAGTAAATATATTATAATATATTATAATATATTATAATATAATAATAATAATATTAATAAAAACAATAAATGTAAAAATATTATATTTTTAAAATACTTTACTATTTGCTTGTTATTATTGTTATTATTAATTTATAAAACATAATATTTACAATAAAATGAGATTTTGTAAAATTATTTTTAAATAATTTTATTAAATAAATATATGAATATTATATATGAATAAATAGGAAATTACTATTTTTAAAAATTATTTAATTTTAAACAATATATTTCTGATGTTACATATTTTAATTACATTGAAATATGTATTTATTATATTTTATTTAATATGCATGATTTATAGTACATTTAAAAATAAATTGTGAAAATTATGTATATTATTATAACTCATTTTAAAATTTTTATTATTTTATATTTTATTTTATAATAATACATTGTAAAAATTACAATATCTTATTTTTATAAATTTGTTATTTTATTTTATTTTTCATAAATAATACAAATTAAAATAACGAATGAATATCATGATACAATACATGATTAATCCTATAATTATATATAATAAATATTTGATGTTAATATTTTATATATTTATTAATAAATAATTTACAATTGTAATTTATTATATTTATTATCAATAAATTATAAAAATTTTTATTTTTACTTGATACTTAATTTTCAAATAATAAATTAATTTTAAAAATATTACTATACCATATACTATTACCATATATTATTATTCTCTGGATTTTAGTTATGTAAAATTAACAAAAATGAATCATAATGAAGAAAAAATAAAAAAAAAATTATATTAAGTGAATAATAAATGGAAAATTAAATAATTACAAACACTGATATTTTTACAAGTATCTATTTTATCAATCATTATTTATCTTTATTTACATAATGATATTTAATAAATCTAAAACCTTGAGTCATTTGTGCTCCTTCATTCACAAAATGACAGGCAAAAAGAAGTAAATTGCGTGGTTCAACTCTTAGAGCAAAACGCATGAACATTGCTGAATATAAGCATAAAGCTGAAAAAATTAATATATCTTATAAATTTTAATTTATCTTTATAGTTTTGAAAAGTTCAGCAATCCATAGCATATGTATATTGAGAATTAAAACAAAAGATTTGTTAATATTCATTAAAATAATTTTATATTTAATAATTTTTATTATAATATATAACTATATTTTTAAATAATGAATTAATATTTTGAATTTATCTAAATGTAATGAAAGAATATATGAAAATATATATTATTTTATTCTTTTTGCTGAATTTTTATCATTATGCGATACATATGATACAAGTATAAAAAAAATTATAAGATTTATAATTATAAGATTTATAATAAAATGTAACAGAATCTTTATATATATCGTAATTTTACTTATCTTTATATGCATGTTTAAAATTTTAATGATTATTCAATTTATACTAGAAAAAAAGAAAGTAGATAAACTAACCAAACGTCATTTTTCCACTAATATATTTCGGATCTCTTTGTATATCAGCGATTGCTGCGATTGGAATACCCCAATTAGCTATAGGTCCCCAAAAATGTGTACTGAAACAAAAGAAACAATAATGAAATCTATTCTGATTAAATAATATACTAAATCGAAATAATATACTAAGTAACAAAACACATATATATACTTTATCTATACTTAAATTCCACATTGCTTACCTCATTAAATAATCTCGAGTTTCTTTACTCGATAACAATTTTTTTACACGATTCATATTGTAATAATTCGTTCTTTTTCTTCTTTTTTCACTTTCTTTTAATAATTAAATTTACTCTTAGACTAAATCGAACTACATACATAAACTCGAATGAAACAATTTCGAAAGAATAAGAGACATCAATCTGGTTATATAAACGATTAACATAATGAATTCATATATTAACAGAAAATTATTTCATAAGAGCTTTAAATCTGACCATGTAATCTCGATGTCAAGGAAAATAAAAGTTGATTTTTCTATCTTTATGCAAATTTTGTTTAGATCACTTTGATTATACAATGAATAAAGGAAATTAATTTTATAATTAATTTGCATTAAATTTTTTAATTATCGAAAATGTATAATTTCCATCATTTAAATTATTTCTTATATAATAATATGATGATATAAATAAATAGTATGATTATTATTTAATTTTAATTTCATAATATTATAATTATTTAAGAATAAGACTATAAATTAGGAATTTTCTTTAGGATATGAGAAATAAATAACAATTAAGCATTAAACCTATTTTTAATTTAGAATAATTATTCAAAAAATATATACAAAGTTTATATATAATATATTATACTAGCTTATAAAATTAACTTTCTTCTTTTCTAATTTTTTTCATATAATTACAAAGCAAAAGAAGATGTTACAAAATGTACAACTATAATTCAGAATCGCTTTCTTATAATATGCAAATTAACAGATCTATATATTTTATTGTAATTGCAATGTAATTTATGATATATATCAATAATACAAAATTTTGTATTTTTCAATTACGCTATAATTTGTTAGCTGAGCTGTTCTTAATTTAGCATGTATGAAACCAATGAGTTTTATTTTATAGCTACAAAGATAGCATACAGAAGTAAATTATTATATACATATATATTTCATAATATAAGAATATTTTTGTCAATATATATAATAAGAGGTACTTGTCGCTCGTTAAATGTTTAACACGTCACGTGTTCATAAAATACAAATACTTTTTTTTTTCATATACATATTTCTATTGGCGCTAAAAAAAATAATGTTATTATAATGACGCTTTTTAAGAATTATAATCTGTATTAAATAATGTATGTTGATGTATAAACAATTATAATAACAAGTTTCATTTTAAATTGCAATATTTACTTATATTATAAAGACCATTTTTTATTTTTTTTTTCTTTGCTGTAATTATTCAGCATGTTAAAGGAATTATTTAAAAAAATATCAATTGTCTTATATCAATAATAAAAATATCATTTCACTTTATCTATTTTATGATGCAATATGTATCATGGTACATATTCAGATAAACGTGTAGAAATTTATTTTAATAATCGAGCAACGGATACATACGTGATGAACGATATTTTTTTCGCATATTTATATTTCACATTCGCATATTTTATATTCTTAACTGATCATTTGTAGTTTAAAATAAAAAAACATTAATACTTGTTGAATGTTTATATTAAGAACGTATGGACTGAAGTGTATGTTAGCATGTCACTCATTCACATGCATTTATAAACTAAAGATATAAACATGCAAAAATATGTATACATAAAGTAAAATTAGCAATCGTAGACTGGGAATTGGGGTTACTTTCATGATAATAAGAGTAAATCCCTTTGGTATTCATTATTTGTCAAATGTGATGTAACACAATATTCGATTCTTTTCACCCAGCAATGACATATATTCCATAAGTTTTTTTGTACAATTAAAATAAATATGAATAGTTTTTATATTTCAATAATTGCAAGTTGCAAAATATTAATTTAAATGCATCATATAAAATAATGCACGTATAAAATTAGAATTTTCCTTTTTTTCATTTGTTACAAATCGATATTTATAATTTTAAT